CAAACTTTGTACACACACAATAAATAAGTTACATTGAAAACAAAGCCGCTAATACAGGGTGCGGCGCGGGAACTTACTTATTTGAATTGCGCGCCACGTGGCGGCCATTAGTCCTAGGAAGGTGGCGCCATCTCTTTGTAAAAAAAGAAAGAATTAAAACGCTATCTTTAATACTTTTTACTTTGTGATTTTTTTAAAAGAGTAAGTTCCCACGCCGCACCCTGTAAAACATTCTTCGCTTTTATTAACGCCTCAAGGCGGTGCCGCAGTTGAAAGTTGAGTTCTCAGGCCTAAATTATCAGTCATACAAACATATAGAAAGCAATGCTAAGCAGCAAAACTTTTGTATTAGGTTTAAGAGGCAAGGCAATTATACATAACAAGTAAAATGAAGCAGCGAAACTCTTGTATTAGGTGCAAGAATCTCGGCAAATATACTAGTACATAACCAGTAGTGCTTAGTAGTAAAACTTTTGCATTACGTGCAATAGGCACGTAAATATTATGAAATAAGCAATGCCAGGTGACACAACTCGTGCATCAGGAACAAGAGGCTTGGAAAATATACAGAACAAGCGCTGGCAAGTGGTAAAATTCACGAAATAAGTGTAAAGAGGGCGGCAATTGCACATAACCAGCAGGGCTAAGCGGTAATTTTTCTATTGTATTCCGTGTAAGAGGCACGGTAAATATTAATTACGAAATAGCAACGGTAAATGTAAGTAGTGCATGAGTGTGGCAAGAGTATTTTGTCGTGTTGGACGCACGGTAGGTGTCAATAGTTCATTAGGAACAAGTATTAAAAGTGTAGATTTCCATAATGATATTATAAAATTCATGAAACTAAGCAGGTATTAGGATTTTTGACGCCTGGCATGTTTTGGTGGAGGTACGGCAAGTATTGGGACTTTTGAGGCAAGGTAATTATTTATAATTTAGAGGCTCAACAAGTATAATGACTTAGGAAGTATGTCAAGTATTAAGACTTTAGTAGCACGGCAAATATTAGGAAAGTCACGGTACGTCTCAAGACTTTAGAGGTACGGTACGTCGTAGGACTTTAGAGGGACGGTATATATTAAGACTTTAGAGGCACGGTATGTCTTAGGACTTTTGAGGCACGGTACATATTAGGACTTTATAGGCACGGTATTTCTTAGGACTTTTGAGGCACGGTACGTCTTAGGATTTCAAAGGCACGGTATGTCTTAGGACTTCAGAGGCACGGTATGTCTTAGGACTTCAAAGGCACGGTATGTCTTAGGACTTTTGAGGCACCGTACGTCTTAGGACTATAGAGGCACGGTACGTCATAGGACTTCAGAGGCACGGTACGTGTAAGGACTTCAAATTCACGGTGCGTCGTAGGACTTTTGAGGCACGGCATGTGTTAGGACTTCAGAGGCACGGTATATATTAGGACTTTAGAGGCACGTTACGTCTTAGGACTTTAGAAGCACGTTGCGTCTTCTATAGGACTTCAGAAGCACTGTACGTCTTAGACTTTAGAGGCACGGTACGTCTTTTGACTTCAGTCACCTAAAACTAATTAAAATTCTAAGACACACTAATTATAAGTTATTATTATCACAAGCCCTAAGTCAGAACTTGTCTCAAGACGGACGCAAGACAGGCTCGTCAGGTGCGTCCGCGGCCGCGGTTGAGACGCGATTGTCGGGGCCGGCGTCCACGCCCTGCCGCTGCTGTGCTGCTTCCTGCTGTAAGGTCGCTACAGGGGCTGATAACAACCACCGTAACCGCTACGACAACAACAATAATAACTACAAAAACTACAGTAAAAACTATAGATATTTCTGCTGTAAGGTCGCTACGGGGGCTGATAACAACCTCCGTAACCGCTACCACAATAACAATAATCACTACAAAAACTACCGTAAAAACTATAAATATTTTCCGGATGCAATTACAAGATTGCAGGTAACAGTTAATGATGGAACAGGAGTATTGGTTGCAGGGCAGCTTCTCACGCGAGGCACTAAGAGTCTGTTAATGGTTATTTTAAATTTATTATTTATATTTTTATAGTTAATTATATTATAGTAGTTATTTTTATTATATTATTTAACTTATTTTATTTTTTTAAATACAAAATATAAATTTGATTCTAAAATAAAAAAGTTCAAATAATAAAATCAAATAAAAGACATGCTTTATTGAAAGAAAAGACCAATTTTTCCTATAATTAATCAACACAGTCCATGCAAGTCTGCACGAGCTGCGTTTCGAATGAACTAATTCCAAAGTTGAAAAATTATTGGGCAAAAATTTGAAGCAAATTCAAAATGAAACCAAAATATAACACGTGACGAAATGATGACGCGATGTCAAAAATAGGAAGCGAGACCAAATTTACCAATTTTCTACTACGAATAAGCAATTTTTTTTCGAAGGAGATGAAAATAACCGTGACCTCGCGCACGCAAACTGCGTATCTCAGGCAGTACTTCCTTTCTCACGTCAATAACCTATTTGATCTCCGCAAGTTGCAAGGTTATCAAACAACAACAGTTCTGCCTCAGTAATTGTAAGAAATATTTTGATTTTTCTTAAGATTATCGCAGGACCGGCAGAGTTTGTCCACAAACGTGCGTCTGGGACAGGAATTGAGGTTCTGATCACGAGCAAAAAAAAAAACAGCGGATACGCCTTGTGATCTCAGGATAATGCCGTCGGAACGCGGGCCAATGCCGGCCGAGACCCGAGCAATTGCGAGCCGAAAACCATGCCATTGCCGGCTGAAACCCGGGCCAATACCGCCCGAAACCGGTGAAAATAGGGAAGCGTATTGCTTACCGGTTGAAAATAGGGCCGGATTTTCTTTCAGCTGAAAAAAGGGAATCGTGTTATATTTAAAAAGTGAAAATGGGGAAGCGTATTGCTCACCCAGCGAAAAATAGGGCAACGTTTTATTTTGTTGGTGAATATATAGTGAAGCGTGTTGTGTACCCGTGAAAATAAGGAATCGTGTATAGTTTACCTATTGAAAATAGGGAAGCTTGTTGCTTACACGCTTCAAAATATGAAAAAGGGACGCTTGGAAACGAAAATGATCAAAAAAAATATGCCAAGATGTGCCATTAAATAATGGTAATAAGTAACAAACATACAAAAACGTATTAGGACAACTGAAGCAAATATGGGGCAGTTGAACGTGTCGTATAAAATATGAGAGATCGTAACAAGCATAAAACAATATGATTACCAGATTCATATCTTTATATTATATCATATGCTCATACTGATTTCGTCATACTTGGTCATATATCGTTATGCTCATATCGTAAATAATATAAAGTTTCGTAGTATATAAGAAGGAAGTATATCGAGGTAAAATGTATGCAAAGTAAATAATTTGTTCACTTGAGGTGCGGAAATTGAAGTGAACGAGTCGGTCATGTGAATACCTAGGTATACAGTAAGATAAATCAGTAATATGTATCATTATTCATATTACTTAGTTTTTCATCTCATTGTTCATCATTATTCACCAATATTATTCTCGATACGACCAGAGCTGTTCCATTTTTAAAATTTTCATTCATAGAATATTTATTTTCTACTTTTTTTAGCGTGCTGCATCATTTCCATCGAAGCAATTTGAATATTACTGTTAGAATATAACAAAAAAATCACTCATAGTTGCATTTGCATTTTCCATGGAGCTAGAAACGACGGTTATGTCATGTCTGTAACAGGAATATTTGTTCTCCAAGTTCATTATGTTTTCGATAAAGTATTTCTCTGCTGTTAAAATGTTACAGCTGTTTTCTGCTGCTTTGATATGCTAGCATCTCGCAGCTAGAGACATACCGCCAATTTTTATGTATTTTATGTTTTATTGCTATTATTTGCTTTTAATGACGCTCTTTAATGCTTTTATTTTTAACCATATTTTTCATGCACTCAATTTTTTAGGCACTGTTTTAAATATAGCCTCATAAAGAAATAATAAAACTTATAATATTCTTATGATATAATATTACTTATTTTACTATAACTTATAACCCTATCATTAAGAAATTTAACAACCGTAGCAGTTCCATGCAGCTTTATGTTGTCGCTGTTGCCAAATTTTTTTATTTTTTATTTTATGTATTCCCCCAGCAGCGCTACCGAGACACGCGACTTGCCAGGAAACTTGTATGGGCGTTGCTTTCCTAGCGACGGGGGGTGGGGGTGGGGTTGTGGTGGTGGGGGGTAGGTTTATGGTAGGTGGAGGGGTGGGGATTATGGTTCTTGTCAGTGGGTGGTTGGTGGTAAGGTTGAATGAAATTTATATCAGTTGGTGGGTGATTTCATACTGTGATGAGGGTATGGGATAGGGTGGGTGTTGGGAGGGGGGGTTATGGTTGGTGTCAGTTGGTGGTGGGGGTAGTTGGGGGGTGGTAAGGTTGAATGAAATTAGTATAGGTTGGTGGGTGAAGTCATTCGGTGATGAGGATATGAGGGTACGGTGGGTGTTGTCAGTGGGTGGTGAAAAGTGGTGGTATATGTAGGTGATGAAGGTGGACAAATATGGTGGGTTGTGAAATTGGATGGTGAAGGTTGGTACTATTAAGGGTGGTGTTGGCATCATCTCACCACAAGAGGCAAGAACAGGAAGCCTTCTTTACTAAAAGAATGCTTAGAGTAAAGCTATCAGCTCTCACCAAAAATCACTCAAAATCCTCCCAAAAAATTTAACAACCACCAAGCACCGGTAACAGAAAACAGACACCGAGCTGGACTGGAATGTTCATAATATTGCAACAGAGGAAAGTTTATAAAATGTTAAACATTTTAACTCGAATATTTAAAGCTGATAATGCTTTAGCCAATACGATAAGTTTAATATGATTACAGATTACGCGATTCCTTGAAACCTTCATAACAAGTGGTATTTTCGTTACTCTATAATATAACAAGAAGTCAAGACAATCTGAACAATCAAACCTTAATTAAGTGATATAATATTAATTAAGTGCATTGATTTTACTCACATTGAGGCTACACCGCATGGATCCAGCCAAAGGGTTGCTGCTGAGGTTGATGCTCAGAGGGGCAGAGCGCCCCCTCTTTGTTCCCTCTCGAGTTTCCTCTCTAAAATAGTTGTCACAATTCCCACTTTTTCCATTCGTCTCCCCCAAGCCATTTTTGATATTATCGCCACTCGGGCCACTCTTGCCACTCGCTGCCACCTCCAAGAACGCTCCAGACAACTTGTTCGATGCCAAGTCCTTAATATAACCATTTCATTAGTTTTGGGATTAATAAAAAGCTCATTGGAGAAGTTACTGATTAATATTATTGGCTATTATACAGATGAATACTATGTGAGAAGCAAATTCAATCATATGAGCTTCATCATGTAGCTCATAATTATTGAGTTAGTTAGTTAGTTTAGTGGCCACATGTTTACTAGCGCTTCATCTATTTAGCTATCCCGCACCGAAAGTCAAGATGAACATCACCAAAGAGGCGGAAGGTCTCAGTTATCGAAGGTTTCTTTAATCAAAAAATCGTTCATCACCCACATTAGGGGCGGAAGGTCTCAGATGTCCAGCCCGCTGAAGCTGGCTCGAAAGAAGCAGCATTAGCATCTCAAAGAGACGAAGTGACAAGGAGGGACAGGTGAAAAGCAACAGAAACTAAGACACTCGAACAAGAGGTCGCTTACACGGGACGTCGGCCGCCCGCCCGAGAGAGACAGAGAAGAGCACGGAATCCTACCAATGTAAGGAATCCTACCAATTAATAACTTAATGTAAGGTGTTCTACCTACATAATAACTTGATGTAAGGAATCCTACCTACATAATAACTTAACCCCACAACTGAGACCTGCAGTCAGACACCGCGAGCTCAGCGGTGGGGCGCTCAGGAACAATCCCCCTAGGAGCGCGAAATCCCATGCATAGGACTTCTGACGAGCACAGACACGCTTCAGAAGTCCCCCATGAAGGGCATAATTTTTGAGCTACATGCTGTAGTAGTGTTGTTCTTCAATATTATAACAGAGATTGCAATCAGATTCTAGTTCAAAAATACAAAAAATACGAAATGAAGAATTAGCGAAACGATTTGGTGGAGTGAAGTAAAAAATGTAAATAGCTATACTTAAAATCAATCTCTCAATCGCCGCCGATAAAAAATTGACCTGAGATGACATTTCAGAAGAACTAATCCGAGTTAGCACCAGTACAAAACACAATTATATCGCTACGGTATAACATAACCAGAGTTAAGATCGTTATAAACCAGAATTCGATATGGAATTTGAATGAAACGCGTAAAAACACGATTGGAGGAACAAGGACAAACATGTCCTTGTTCCTCCAATCAAGGACAAACATGCATCAGGAACAAACATGTTTCGAACAAAATGTTCGAAAAATGTCCTGTGAAAAATGTCATCAGGATCATCATATGTCATCATATTATAAAAATGTCATCATATTATGTCCTGTGAAAAATGTCATCAGGAAACATAATATGAGGAACAAAAATTAAACGAGAAAAATGTTTGTGAAACTCAATCCATGAAAAATGTCGTCAGGAAACATAATATGAATTTCTCACGAGGGTTCTGAGGGCAGCGAGCGAGGGTAGCTCTGGGGGCACGACGACCCTGTTGTTGTGGGCCACCAGCACCTGCAGCGTCGCCAGCCCCGACACCGCAGCTAGAGAGTCCAGGTGGTTGTGGCTCAGCCAAAGCTCCTCCAGCCTCACATGGAAATTTAAAATTAAAATTTGAATCTTATGTCAAGTTAATGTTGTGCATCTTACGTCAAGTTAATGTTGTGCATCTTACGTCAAGTTAATGTTGTGCATCTTACGTCACGTTAATGTTGTGCATCTTACGTCAAGGTAATGTTGTGCATCTCACGTCAAGTTTGTGTGTTTCTTACGTCAAATTAGTGTGCATTCTACGTCAAGTTTGTGTTTATCTCACATCAAGTTAGTGTGCATTTTATGTCAAATTTATGTGCATCTTAAGTCAAGTTAATGTGCAACTTAAGTCAAGTTAAATTTGCATCTTACATCAAGTTAGTGTGCATCTTACGCCAAGTTAGTGTGCATCTTACGTCAAGTTAGTGTGCTTTTTACGTCAAGTTTGTGTGTATCTTATAAGCATCGGTGGTTCAGTGGTAGAATTCTCGCCTGCCACGCGGGAGGCCCGGGTTCAATTCCCGGCCGATGCAAATCCTTTAGTCCGAAAAACGACAAAAAGAAAGACAGAATTTACGCGGCATACAGTGTACACGATTCCGTTATGCTATAGTCGGCGTGGAGAGCTTCACACAAATCAAACGCAGCCGTGTCACTTGAGGTCATTGTATTGATTCATTATAAGCCATTATCATCAATTTTCTTTTATCCGCCTATATATTAATGGTAATTAAGATCTAGAATTATGCATAATGAATCAATTTATAGCGGTGACCGCACTTCCTGATCAGACCAAATATCACTCATGTTGAAATCGATGACTAACTGTGAGAAAGTACAGAAAAATACTAAAAAAATTCTGCCGCAGAAAAATCGAATTAAATACGAGCATTTGTATACTATCAGCTACCAAGCGAACTGCAAGTAGAGATAAATGATTTATACTGTACACACAATATATAGCTATATATATTAGTTATTGCTATAAGCATCGGTGGTTCAGTGGTAGAATTCTCGCCTGCCACGCGGGAGGCCCGGGTTCAATTCCCGGCCGATGCAAATCCTTTAGTCCGAAAAACGAGACAATGAAAGACAGAATTTACACGATATACAATGTACACAATCCCGTCATGCTATCGTCGGCGTGGGAAGCGTCATAAAAATTAGACTCGGTTACGTCACTCAACTTTATTGTATTGTTTCATTGTAACTCAAAATCATACATTTTTTATCCGCGTATATATTAATGGTAATTAAGATCTAGAATTATGCATAATGAATCAATTTATAGAGGCGACAGCACTTCCCGATCAGATAAAATTTTACTCATGTTGAAATCGGTGAGGAACTGTGAGAAAGTACGGCAAAAATACTTGAAAAATATCCTCCGAAGAAAAATCGAATTGAATAAATGTATGGTCTCATTTTTGTATGTGCAATATCGAACTGTGAATATCTCGATAATATTGATTTAAACATTTAGAAGTTCACTGGCGTTCAGTAGACATGGATTATAATGATCATATATTACCTATTGATATCATTATCGTGATCTGTATAGTGTTTTGTATCGTGCTCTGTATCGTGCCCTGCATCGCGCTCTGTATCGTGCTCTGTATCGTGCTCTGCATCGTCTTCTGTATCGTGCTCTGTAAAGTGTTTTGTATCGTGCTCTGTATCGTGCTCTGTATCGTGCTCTGTATCGTGCCCTGTATCGTGCCCTGTATCGTGCTCTGTATCGTGCTCTGTATCGTGCCCTGTATCGTGCTCTGTATCGTGCTCTGTATCATGCTCTGTATCACACAAGGCACACATGTTTGATCATTGTACTTATCAATGGTCGTTGATGAAAGAGTTTTTTCTTGAAGACTCGAAAAATCAATAGTGATTTGATAGTTATCGTATAATTATGTGATGTCTCAATGCGTCGACGAAATACTAAATATATCAGTTAAAAATAAATATCATATTCAGAGGTATAAAGATAAAACGAATTCAGACGTTGTTTGTCAATGAATAAGTTTCCGTAGTGTAGTGGTTATCACGTGCGCCTCACACGCGCAAGGTCCCCGGTTCGATCCCGGGCGGAAACATATTTTAGAAGTTATATTGCAGTCAAATTCGAGTGAAAATATGAAAAAATATATATATTTTTTGTTTCATTTTAATGCCTACATTTTCCTTTGCACATCCATTACTACGTAAGTTTATCACATAATCTAGGACGTACAGTAATCAGAAATTGTTCAGATAAATACAATGCATAGTTGGATTAAGACAAGAGGTAATGTCTACAATTATGGTAATTTTAGATTTTGTTGATAAAAAGAATTGATTTCAATTTTGAAGTATGTTTTGAAGTTATCAAAACCGCGAAGAAAAAGCCCAAGATGAAATGAAATGTTTTATCCCGCCCATCGTTTTGAAGAGCGCAGCTCTTGATTATCGTCAAGATAATCGTCATACTAGGAGATATCACATCCTCTAATAACTGGAAGGAATTGCGCGTTTTACATAAATTACTTTAATTACAGAATGAGGACTAAAAGATTGCATCGGCCGGGAATTGAACCCGGGCCTCCCGCGTGGCAGGCGAGAATTCTACCACTGAACCACCGATGCTTATATCATCAAATAAGTCATTAATTTAATGAATTCAACTGCGAAAGTAGAATCAATTCGACGTTCGATGCACATCAACTCAACGTTTGATGCACGTCAACTCAACGTTTGATGCACGTCAACTCAACGTTTGATGCACGTCAACTCAACTTATAACCGTGGATAGAAAATAATTTTGTAGATATAACCGTGGATAGAAAATAATTTTGTAGATATAACCGTGGATAGAAAATAATTTTGTAGATACAACCGTCGATAAAAATTAATTTTATAGATTTAACCACGGATATGAAATAATGTTGTGGATATAACCGCGTTTAAATAATAATTTTGTGGATAAAACCGTGGATAAAAATCAACTTAAATCGACAGGAACTCATAATTACTTCGTCTTTTAACCCAAAATTTAAAGTCTAAATAAAATTTTTGTTTCTTTACATCGTATGATCCGAGCATATATCGATCATTAAGAAGATACAATGCATTGACATTTTCCAATTCTCTCGATATAATAATTTAAATTTGTACCATGATTCCGATATATCAGTCGTGACTTTAGTTGAATATCAAGGCATTGTGACGATAGTCGTGTAAAAAAGACAAAATATTCGTAAATTAATATATGAATTATATTGAATTTTACTACATTGACTTGTCGGCAGGTCTATCGCTGTCATAAATTATGAAGATGATTCAAAACGAAGCACATTTCTTCACTCCTCGGTAGTATAGTGGTGAGTATCCCCGCCTGTCACGCGGGAGACCGGGGTTCGATTCCCCGCCGGGGAGAAAATATTTTAGAAAATTATTACTAAAAGTTCATAATTAATACATATATACGAAAAAGAATAGCATTCAGATATAATTAACTTTTAACAACATCGGTTTCCTATTATTTTCTCCCCTTTTCAAACACGAGAGCGTGATGTGAGAGCGACATGGCGAAAGTATACAAAAACCTAATTGCCGTTCAGTCAAACGGCTGTTATTACATCAGTCAATGAACCCAGTAAGGCTACCAGTAAAGTTAAAGGTTAAGGTTAAAAAGCGAAAATTTCAGTCAAAAATGAGGCTAGAAATTATTAGGTTGCGAGAGCCTACAGTATCCCACAGATCAGTTTAGTGATCTCTGTCAATAACTGTTAATCTTTTTATATTTTGAAATTTGCCTCAGTCATTACTTATTAGATGCTAAGATTTCAGTCAACATCGGTCATCTCAGTAATTATTGTCATAAGTGAAGAGGTCATAAATTCTAATTTTCATTAACAGATTTTATTCTACAAGTCAGCCTATTTCAGAGAAATAACAACACATTATCACACGCGTTCATTGTTCCCCACAAGTAATGAAAATCTCATTCAGAAAATCTCATGATAATCTCAATTGATGAAAATTACTGGCATCTTACCTCAGTGTGCGGAAATCACATTCACAGTCAATTGAGTTTCGAACTCATTGAACAGCAATGGAATCAAGTCATCTTGTCAGTGAGCGAATAGGGCAATGAGCGGATACTACATTCAAAGTTGTCAGATGTTTAAATTAATAAGCGGATATCACATCTAAAGTTAACTGATGTTTAAATCAGTGAGCGGACATCACATCCAAAGTTAACCGATGTTTAAATCAGTGAGCGGACATCACATCCAAAGTCAATTGACATTTGACATCAGTGAGCGGACATCACATCCAAAGTTAACTGACATTTGACATCAGTGAGCGGGAATCTTTCTATGATAAAAAATTAATCAAAGACCGAAGAATAGAACAAGATCAAGGCACGAGTGAAGGTACCTGCAGAGATCACGGAGATCGTGAGGCAGCGAAGAGATCTTGTTGTAATCGAGTCTGATGATCTGCAGCAGCGGCAGCGCCAGCAGCGGTCTGGGGAACTGATCGAGGCTGTCGCTCCGCAGCGTCACGATCTTAAAACGCGGACATGAAAAAAAAATAAATAAATAAAAATGAGAAATGAGACGTGGAAATTAAAAGAAATAAATGAAAAAATATAAGTCAGTACTCACTGTAGTGAGTGACAGAGAGCGCATTTTCTCGTCGATGAAAACGTGAAGTCACGGACGGACAGACAGACGGACAGGCGGACGGACATGACGAGCACAGTAGCGCCTTTTTTCCATAAATGAGAAAATGCGCTAAAAACAATAAATAAAAATCAGACAACATTAAAACGTGGAAATTTATCTGGCAAGGTTTAAACTTTATTTAATTAGCGTAATTTAATTGGGAATAATTACAATCGTGATTCGGTTAGTATCGTAAATGTAATTTAAAGGAAATCGATTAACGGAACCTTATTGGGTTCAATTTTATCGTAATTCAATTTGGATTTGGAGTGAATGAATCATGAATGAATGAAAAACACAAAATTAAACTAGTGTTTTTTTAAATGGTATAAATTATTAAATCAAATCCAGTCATCCCGAAGTATTTCGTCAATTTTCAAACTAAAGTAATGTTAATTAAAGGATATTTTACTTTATTTTAAAAACTGTTATCAAAAAAAGTAAAATGATTATGCAACTGCATTTGAAATCCCAAATCTCTGTGATCGTTTAACTAGAGAATCTCCGCGCTAACCAGAAAGTATCCTATATATACCATATATATATAAAGAAAAAATTATTCTCCTTTGTATTTATTAAAAATTTTTCCTTCATTAATATTAATTGTATGGAATCAATTATTTTGAAACTCACCCTAAGATTCCTGTAGCGTAATAGATCCTCGAGGTTCCTGATCCGACCAGGATTAAATCTATTAATATTGTCTTTTTCTTCGTCTGAACTCGAGGAGCAAAGGACATCTGCTCGTCGACGATGCGACGACAGACTTCGCTTCCTGCGCACCGGCTTCGACCTCGCCACGACATTCGTGCGAGGAATCGAACACGACAATTTTGGAGTCTTCACGTCTTGTTGACTTGAAGAAGACGATTCTAAATACTTGGCAGTGCGTTGACTTGAAGAACTCAGCCGTGAATTTGCATCACTTGTTGAATTCGGGGATGAAAATTTTCTACTCGGTTTAACTTTCTGGCTGGTATAGGATGAAAATATTTCGGATTCTCGCTCCTTTTTGGAAGAAATTCTTGACGACGAAGTGCCTTCGTGCATTGAAATTGAATTTGTACTGCCAATCAAATCATTCCTTTTAATTTCCCGAGTAGCTTTACTGCTTGATTGAAAACATTCACCTCTTTGACGAATAATTTGATTTGCAGTTCCAGGACATACTTTGCTCGGGTCAAAGTCGTGACCTCGTGACACGTACGCGTTTAGTTTGTTCATGTGAAGGGTGTGATTGGAGTGTCTCTCGATTTCCTTTCTGTCAGAGAGTAAATGGAATGCTGGCTTGTCTGTGATGCAACGCACGGCTGTGTCATCACAGCGTCTGGTGATGCCAGTGCCGTTGCGCTCGTCGATTGAGCTCCTATCTTTTTGTTTGTTAATCGTCGTGTGGTCGCTTTTTTTACCGATTGTCTTGTTCTCGTTAATGCAGTTTCTTGTGTTGTTGACTTTATTGTTGCCATTGCCACTTTTCCTGTCATTTTTGTTGTTGTTATTACCATTGCTGCTGCTGCTGCTGGAGAATAGGGACGACTCGACGTCACTGCTGCTGCTGCTGCTGCTCATGCCCAGACTTTCACTTTCATGCTTCAGGCGCGAGTCAAGTTCATTTAAAACGTTGCGTATTTCAGATGTCTCGTCTAACCCGGCAGTGATAACATCTGTAGCCGGCAAATTAATTGAGCTGTGGAAACTCGGAGGGGGAATGATCAATCCAAGTTCCATACATTGAAGCTCTTTTCCTAAAGTCATGTCAAAATTTTCTGCCGCATTTTGGTGTACACTCAACATTTTTGAATGAACATGAGGAGCTTCCGGGAACAGCCCACCCGTATTACCGTCACTTAAGTTTGAAAATAAAGCATTGTTAGTTTTACATTTTTTAAGGGCATTTATTAATGATAATTCACACTTAGGAGAGCAGTTGCCGCCATCACCCGAAGAACGCAATCCTAAAGCTTTACCAGAGTCGCCTCCAAAAGAGCTTGAGATTGGATCGAGCGTCGCTATGGTCTTAGGGCACCCAGTACCCATTGCTGCCATTGGCGCTGGTTGGACCATGACTGTAGTATGATCGCCGAGAGATTCATCGATATTCACTGATGATGGCTTAATGTTGAGAAGTGTTGACGCGTTGACCTCGTCACAACTCTTCTTGAATCTCGCGATCAAAACGTCAACCGCCTTAATGTCGAAAGTAGGACTGCAAGGACCCGTTTTGGTTTCCCCGTCATTAGACTTTTGAACAATAGTTTCAGCCACGGTGACCCAATCAGAGGGGAGCTGTAATATTTCTACTGGGTTAGCTGTCTCACCAGGTGCATGATTATGAGATGCAACAGTTCCCAATAATTCATCTTTAAACGTTATTTTTGCTCCGTGAGCAACTCGTTTTGGTTTCTCTGGCCGCTGGCCTTTACAACGACGTTCGTCGCGAGCAACGTCACTAAGGGCCAATATTTTTTCCGGTGTCCGACGCACTTTCGACGCTGAAATTTTCGGACATTTTTCCACCTTAATAATACCCTTGACGTCATCGGGAATTGGGTTTTTACATTTCCGTTCCAGTGACAATCCGCGCTGAACTTTCTTAAGTTCTTCAATGAACTCGTCGTAATTCACGGGCTTCGTTGGAGCCTTCATGTCTTTCTGTGCGGAATTTGCAGCAATACATCCGATTTGCTGCACTTCATTTATCCGTTGGTTTCCATCTTTCAACTTCACTGATACATAGATTTCACTATCACTGTTTTCCTCACGACGTCGTTCAATTATCGGCCTAGTACATCCTTGTTGAAGGCTCGACAAACTTCTCTGCACAGCTGAAACGTAGAGGGGCTGTTGACTCGGTAGTCTTTCGCCAAACTCCTTCTCGTACCGGACTACGCAACCTAACCCTCCACTCGCTGGCGGGGCTGGCAAAACCTTTCTTTTTCTCACTGTTGTATCTTCACTCCTGTCCTTGAATACCTGCGCTGTGTGTTGTATTTTGCTGTGATCTTTATTGTTCAGCAGCAGGTTTTTGGTAGCATCATTCAACGATGAAATACCGAGTACATCCTCTTTGTCATTGGATTCTTGGTTCACTTCTACTCCAGGATAAGCGAAAGTCGATGGAGTATCGTAAACCTCTTTCCCGTTTTTAGATTTTTCTATAGTTAATAGTTGATTAAAGTTTGCCAGTTGGGTCACTTCTCGTGTAGGATCTATCAACGATGCATTTGATTTTGAATTGGGGAATAACTTATTGGGAGAAGACGAAGCTTTGTTCACAATGTTCACCAACTTCCTACCATTGGAATCGATGCAAGAGAGAGCTGCTGAAGATGAACCTGCCTTAGCGCGGTGGTCTGAATCGTCCTGCTGAATCACGAAGAATACAATTATTATTCTTATTTTCTGATTTAATACTAATATTAATTAATGGTCTAGTTGAAAATTTTCCCATTGTTCTGCAAGCAAAAATTCTTTGGGGGCCTATTGATTCTTTCACTGTTGTTGAAAATTACTTGTCGTATTAATAAACTTTATTGCAAACCATTGAACAGTCTCTTGAAACCATTTACCCTTCCATGAAGCTGAATTTAATTTTATTAAAATTTCCAATTAATGCTGCAGTAATCACTCAAATATTATAAAAACATAAGGAGAGAATGAAAATTACGGATTTTCTTGATTTCTATTTGAGCTGGTAACTTTTGCACGATAATTTGCGTAAAGTGCACTATCGTTCCACGTTAAATTTTAATGAATGATGATGATAACTACATAGTAATATCAATAATATGTAAAGATCCTGTTGCTAATGCTGAAATAAGAGTTTTCAAGACACTGAGAGGCTAGGGAGAGGCTAGACTACGGTGTGAAGCAAGTTTATCGTTTACAGATATAATAGAGCTGTGATGAACTTAACATGAATAAAATTTATCTAACCAGGTTGCCAAAAATGGGCCTATTTCTTTAGCGGACGAAATCAAGAAGTAAGGATGGTTGCTACAAATAGTATTACATTACCTTCGAAATCAATAACAATATATAATCACTGTTAAAAGGTTATTGAGACACAACACATAAAATTTTTTAAGGACTGAAAGGAAGGGGACAGGAACAACAGCAGTGACGGCTTCAGCACAACTGAAATGTCAGCATCCTTTACGTTGCATTAAATTACTTCCACACTGCGTATATCTGGAACAGAGATAGTTACATATTCGGCGTATTGAGTTCACCATCATTGTTATTACTCCCGTAAATATTGGGTCGACTACGCAATGCGCCAATGACCTCGATAGGCGGAATAGAGAAGACACACAGAGAAATAAGGAAACTTTGTCCATATAACAATGCTGTTTTTGCATTTGTATCTAAATATTGACCCAGTTTGGTCCGAAAATAGGGCGTATCAGTGCTACGTACAGAAAGTGCGTCATTATTTAGACAATGCGTCCAAATAATGACTGAATCAATGAATAAACAAATGGACTTTATTCCATTTATTTCCAGAGTGCGCGATGGGTGGAATCGGGAAGACGGGATAAATAAAAATGTTAAAAATTGCGTGGATTCAACTAGCAAGTAAATGGAAAGGAAAAGTGAAACGTTTTCCTAAGTTTGAATCATTCATACACTTCCACATTTTCGTCACGTAAAATCGTGCGCGCTGCATGGAAAACTTCATGAATAAAATATAGTAAGTGTATTTTGTTAAAATAAAGGAGATGTGAATAAAAGGGTGAAAAGAAGGGCAGTATATAAGCGGTATTTATCTACATACTTAACACACAAAATTATAATAAAGAGAGCTAAGCAGTAGAGAAAATTAGGTTGGCGGAAGGACAGCGGCGATTTTGTTAGTGTCGACGCAACGCGGCAGTTACGTCGCAGAAAGTTATAATTGCTCTGAGCTAATATCATATATGCTTCTAATTTGTAAACTAACAGGAAGAATATATTCCTCCTATAATTGATAAATATAGAAATTTATGCATGCTATACATAAGGAAGCTATCGATCCTAAGCTACAGAAAATTTATAGCCATTTTTAACGAGGTTAATATTTTTTGGCCTTTAGAACGAGATAAACAGGATCACGATAGAAGTTTCGATAATTGTGAGAATACTTTATAGATTTGTCTACAAACTTACACTCAATCAAAACCTCATATATATATTTAAATATCTGCCGCTAACGTCCCAAAAACCCTCAAGTCGCTGGACTTCAATGAAACCTAATTATTTTGTGAACAAAATTGGACCACCTCTTTCTAGCGCGATCGAAACGGCTTCATAGTCATCACGTAGTTAGCGAACCCTATAAATCTTAGTTTTGATCAATATTATTTGGTTTTTAGTGACGTGCGGCGAGGTAAGTGCAGTTCCTCCTAAGTGGCGACTTCTGCACGTGTTATAGACAGTAGGCGATGTAGAAAGTCCCCATAACATGAATAGTAGGCGATTTAGACAAATATCAAGCCCGTACTTAAAATTAAGTCCGTACTTAAGAAAGAACTATTTCCCATTACAAGACTTTCTAACTAAATCTTTACATGCATTTCTTACACTGATGCTGAACAGATGCTCCCTATATGGCCTATATTAGAGATGAATGAATCGCTAGATCCAAGTTCCTGCAACACTAGGAGCTCTGGGCTAGATCTAGATCTCTTATAAGCCCTAGCTTCGCTAGGAGTACTATTCAATAATCCCAGTCAATATTCTCAATCAAGCAATATCCTGAATTGATTTAGCCGCTTACCTATTATTCTATTAGTATCACCTACCTTGTATAAATTCTAGCAGTAAAGCGTACGTAATTATCAACACGCAAGTTTTACGTTAGTTCATCTACCAAGTTCCTCACCTGAAATTTACCAAAAACGCCAATTTTACTTACCGAATTCTTGAGGATTCCTCTAGGCGACATCGTGACCCGGTTGTTGGGATTACTTGAGAATACCATTAAAATAAAATCAACTAGAAACAACAATGGAAATCTTTACTGCCCAACAGCCTCGCAAGGTTGTGAAGAAGCAGCTTCAAATGTACGGCCATAGTTACACCAATTCAACCATGGTTACACCGTTCGTCGGACCGTTATTTTCACGTCGGATTTGTTGTTAGTGTTCTCTATGTATCCAAGTTTCTTTTAACCCCCACACTTTGTAAAAGATTCTCCCTGAAGAAATGACTACAAAATAATAACAAAAGAGATATTAGCAAATAGATTTTATTGCAGTATGCCATCAATCTTGAAAATATTATTTGTAGGCGAGGTATTACACATTTACGTATTGTTGACGTTGATTCTGAAGAGCGGATTTAATTTTATGGATTTTGGAGATGTGCTTTTATGGGTTTTAAAACGTGGATATTCGTTTATGGATTCTAAAACGCGCATATTCTTTTATTGATGCTTAAATGCGAATATTCTTTTATAGATTCTGAAGCGCGGATATTCTTTTATGGATTCTGAACCGCGGATACTCTTTTGTGGTTTCTGAAGCGCGGATATCCTTTTATGGGTTCTAAAACGCGGATATTCGTTTATGGATTCTGAAGCTCGGATATCCTTTTATGGATCCTGAAACGCGGATATTCTTTTATGGATACTGGAACGCAGATAATATTTTATGGGTTTTGAAACGCCGTTAATTACAAACGCGCAACACGCCATGGGCCTATTTCTTCAGTGCCGACACTTCTATTCTATTCTACTCTTTTATGGATTCTGACATGCTGATATTATTTTTTGGATCCTTGAAACTAGACATCTTTTAAGAATTATGTAGCTCGGAATTCTGAAATGCAGATATTCTTCTCGGCCAGCAATAAGGCAGAGCTCATGATGCGGACGATATAAGATTTGCACAGAACGCTAATCTCAGCCTGAATGGTGAAGGTGATTGCGCTCAATGACCGCGTTGCGTAAACGTTCTGACGTCACGTAAGTTGCAGAATGCTGTAGTATTCTTATAAGTGAAAGACTCATAAATAATTAACCAATGATTAACTTTTAACAGACAGAATATAACCTGCACACTTTTTACTTCATTTAGTCTTTTTTTTTTGCAATTCACGGTGTGAATTTAGCTTTTTAAAGCCACGTAGATTTGGTCGCTTCATCTGGCATGTACAAATTAATGGTGAAACATGACCCGTTAAAGTTGAATTTACCTCCGTTAGGTAATTTACCTCTGAGTGCGTTATTTAAATATCTACTACTGCCATCAATATGAGATTAGATACAGGCTATGAAGAGATCACCATATATTTATCACTATTTCAGCTTAGTGATCAATATTTATCCCTCAATCACTTTATTTATCACTCGTTCACCATATTGATCTTTAGGTCACTTTATTGATCACTCGTTCACCATATTGATCACTTGGTCACTTTATTGATCACTCGTTCACCATATTGATCAAATTCTGTCCGCACCATGTTTCTACTCATGGCACATAGTAGAGTGTGACGCTAACAAACCATTAACAATTTCTCCATAGCATGAATTTTCGGAAAATAATTCCCTTATTTGATGTCACGCATCACTCGCTTTGGTATAACTGTAATATAACCTGCAATTGATTAGGCTAACTAATTTAGTTATAATTAAAAACCCATGCTGTAAATACCCTCATATTTTGCATATTTATGTAGTAGTTCTACCTTATTTACATATTTCACAATTTACATATTTCGTAATGTTTACAGAAATTTATAAGCTACAAATTTATAAGCTACAGAAAATTTATAGCCATTTTTAACGAGATTAATTTGTTTTGGCCTTCGAACGAGAAAAATAGGATTACGATAGAAGTTTCGATCATCGTGAGAATACTTAAAAGTCGTGTCGATAAACTTACACTCAATGAAAGCCTTATATATATCTAAATATCTGCCGCTAACGTCCCAAAAGCCTTCACATCGCTGGACTTCAATGAAACCTAATTATTTTGTGAACAAAACTGGACCATCTCTTTCTAGTGCGATCGAAACAGCTTCATTGTAATCTTTTTAGCGCGATCAAAACAACTTCATAGTCATCATGGAGTAAGGGAACCCTACAAATCGTAATTGTGACCAATATTATTTGGTTTTTAGTGACGTGCGGCGAGGTAAGTGCAGTTCCTCCTAAGTGGCGACTTCTGCATGTGTTATAGACAGCAGGCGATGTAGAAAAAATTAAGTCCCCATAACAGGATTTTCGAACTAAATATTTACAAACATTTCTTACACTGATGCTGAACAGATGCTACCTATATGGCCTATATTAAAGATGAATGAATCGCTAGATCTAGGTTCCTGCAAGTTGCAACACTAGGAGCTCTGGGCAAGATCTAGATCTCTTAGGCCCTAGATTCGCTAGGAGATCTATTCAATAGTCCCAGTCAGTATTCTCAATAAAGCAATATTCTGAATTGATTTAGCTGTTTACCTGTTATTATATTATCACCTACCTTACATAAATTCTAGCAGTAGAGCATATGTAATTATCAATACGCGAGTTTTACGTTAGTTCAGTGACATAATTTCGTCACCTAAATTTACCAAAAATGCCAATTATACCTACCGAATTCTTGAGGATTCCCCTCGGCGACATCGTGATCTGTTTGTTAGGATTACTTGAGAATACCATTAAAATAAAATCAACTAGAACCAACAATGTCAATCTTTACTGCCCAACAGCCTCGCAAAGTTGTGAAGAAGCAGCTTCAAATGTACGGCCATAGTTAAACCAATTCAACCATGGTTACACCGGTCGGACAGTTATTTTCACGTCGGATTTGTTGTTAGTGTTCTCTATGCATCCAAGTCTTCTTTTAACCACCACACTTTGTAAAAGATTCTTCCTGAAGAAATGACTACAAAACAATAACAAAAGAGATATTAGCAAATAGATTTTATTGCAGTATGCCATCAATCTTGAAAATATTATTGGTAGGCGAAGTACTACACATTTACGTATTGTTGACGTTTATTCTGAAGAGCGGATATAATTTTATGGATTTTGGAACACTGATACGCTTTTATGGGTTCTAAAACGCGGATATTCGTTTATGGATTCTGAAACGCAAATATTATTTTATGGGTTTTGAAGCGCCGTTAATTACCAACGCGCAACAGGCCATGGGCCTATTTCTTCAGTGCCGACACTTCTATTCTCTTCTACTCTTTTATGGATTCTGACATGCTGATATTATTTTTTCGATCCTTGAAACTAGACATCTTTTAAGAATTATGTAGCGCGGATATTCTCTTGTGAATTCTGAAATGCAGATATTCTTCTCGGCCAGCAATAACGCAGAGCTCATGATGCGGACGATATAAGATTTGCACAGAACGCTAATCTCGGCCTGAATGGTGAAGGCGATCGCATTCATTGAAGTTTAATTGCGTTGCGTAAGAGTTCTGACGTCACGTAAGTTGCAGAATGCTGAAGTATTCCTATAAGTGAAAAACTTATAATTAATTATCCAATTATTAACTTCCAACTGACAGAATATAACCTGCAAATTTATTACTACATTTAATTTTGTTTACTTAATTCTAATTGACGGTGTGAATTGGTATTGACCACTACTTCAGCATAGTGATCACTCTGTTACAATATTTATCAGTCAGTCACTTTATTTATCACTCGTTCACCATATTGATCATTCGGTCACTTTATTGATCCCTCATTCATCCTATAAATCAAATTCTGTCCGCACAATGTTTCTACTCATGGCACATAGTAGAGTGTGACGATAACAAACCATTAACAATTTCTCCATAGCATGGATTTTCGGAAAATAATTCCCTTATCAGATTTATCACACCACTCGCTTTGGTATAACTGTAATATAACCAATAATTGATTAGGCTGCCCCCTAAACCCATGCTGTAAATACCCTCATATTTTATATATTTATGTGGTGGTTCTACCTTATTTACATATTTCACAATTTACATATTTCGCAATGTTTGATTAAAAATAATGCCAGTTTTATTGAGGACTTCTTTTGAGTTTTAGCTCTCAAGCTTTCTGATAAGAGGTACAGTAATAGGGTCAATGTGTCTTAAAATTTGTCCAAATGAAAGGTTTAATAAATCCTGCGACGCGCATTTAAATATTTTAATTCAATTTAAATATTTAATCAAACATGTTTAAATGAAGGGTTTTACCCTAAATTTACATATTTCGCAACCCCACACGACGTTATAAAGCACTGCACTGCGTTGGAGACGAGCGAACGACTGCACGAATCTTATCCCATAAGTCGGATGATGTGACCTGCCTTGCGTGACGTGACGACGCCCTCCTCATTACCATCATTACCATCCTGCACTGAGCAGTGGTTGAGACGAGGTACGTCTTACAGTTCTGCTCATTACCATCATTACCTACCTGCACTGAGCAGTGGTTGAGACGAGGTGCGTCTTACAGTTCTGCTCATTACCATCATTACCTATACCTGTTCCAATCAAATTTGTCACAGTTTGGTGGTTATAATATTAAATAAAAAACTTTTTAAACTATAGATGACAGAAACTGCAAAAATTGTGAAAAATTTTTTTTCATGCACCTTCGTAGTATATATTCACTATTAGGTTTTATTTCTGCATGCACGGAATAGATATACTGTACATGTAGACGAAACCATGTATAAGCCTTACTAACAATTTTTGGAAATTCTAAAAAGTTTAAAGCACTTCACATTAATTATTTACCTGTTAGGAGTCAGTTTATTTATGAAACGTATTTCCGACCATTTATATTGCTCATTTTCCAACATATGCAGTACGATCTATCCGTCTATCTTATCTGTAAGATTCCTACCAGAATTTAAAACTGCAGGCGTAACATATGAATTGGCAGATAATGAACACATATTATTTGAATTCATTTCAGTTTCAATTCTCGCTTCAGCACTATGATTTACTGTACGGATTTCGTTCCGGGATAAAATAGTCATCCGCGCTTTAGAAAAAAATTCGGTTCGTGCAAAGTTCGCTTCGTACAAACGGCAGCGTCAGACGTTAGCGCTGGAAGGAAGAATTGTGTCGGGTGACAAATTTTTGTGACGTTTATGAACATCTGTGACGTTCAAATCGTTTGTATGGAAGAAAATTCTTCAAGTGAAGAAGTTTGTTGCTAATCAGTTGACAATGACTGTTGTATGTTCATATGGTTCTGAAGTATCTTGATCAAAATTTGTGAAGAACTTCATGTGGAATTCCAAGGCGCGGGATGGCAATGTGTCAGCATA